ATGAGTGGTGTATGATAAGTGGTGTATGATGAGTGGTGTATGATGAGCGGTGTATTGATGAGTGGTGTATTGATGAGCGGTGTATGATGAGTGGTTTATTGATGAGTGGTGTATGATGAGTGGTGTATTGATGAGTGGTGTATTGATGAGTGGATGAACAGTTCTTGAATGTCCGTAACACGGAAGTTTCGTACACTAAACTTCCTTTGATAAGTAGTAGTCGCCGTCGTAGTAGTCGTAGTAGTGGTAGTCGTAGTCGTAGTCGTAGTCGTCATCGTGGCCGTGGTCGTGGTAGTGGTAGTGGTAGTGTAAGTATATACCACTATGCCAGGGGGAAAGGAAGAGGGAAGAGACAGATCGAGAGGGGGAGTGAGAGAGGGAAAGAATTGCAGTAAATTTGGGGAACAATACATGCATGCTGTTTCATATCATCCCCGCTGAGCCCTGCAAGCGGCGGTCGGTGTGTTTTGCATTTTCTCAGTCAGTGAGACATCAGTTGAGGCCTTTACCTCCTGGCTGGGTTTGACGGATACGTGCTGGCCTGAGTTGAGAGACGCAGCTTTGAGACGTTACACCACCAAACTAACATGATTGTCGAGGCTCCAACATCTCCAGCATACAGGTGTTCATCGTTACGATAGACTTTGTTGATCTATAATGGATATAAATGGTCTCTTCAAGCCACACTAGCTGGCCTCGAATTCGAGGCGCACCATGACGTGTGGCTTGGCAATACAGAAGGGTCCAGCCCTCACCTCAGTTTACACCCAGCGGCCCAATGGCCAGATCAACTATGATCAACTTCTAGCAGCATTCAGCACTGCCCGCCCTCGTTGCACTCTCCTTGTTATATAGTGCATTATAGTTATAGTACATATGTGTCCCTTTGTGCAAGCCGGGCACGCATTTGTTTATGTGCGCTTGGCCAACCTTGGCCATCTTACAATGGGCCTGGCCACTTCACAGTCCGAGAGAACGTTATCGATATCTAAAGAAGATTGATACACATTTGATGGAGCGACAATTTGGCCACTGCCTCGCGTCGTCAGTCACAATCTCTCTGCGATGCGAGGTTGGGAGCTGATGCGCTTTACACACCGCCGGGAGGGCAGCTATGATGTGTTTGAGGCTGCTTCACAATGCAAGACCGCCAACGCAACTATAGAATCCCGTGAATCCCCAAATGCTGTCGCCAGCAGAATTTGCTTGTTGGGGAGTGAGCCAGAAAGGTTTGTTGCCTCATTGGACACCTGTGGCCCTCCGTGGGAAGACAGCCCATGCACCACGCAACTCGTGCTCAGTACCGAGCACCTTGGATCCCTCGCTTTGCCCTTGCAGCGGTTGCAGTCGGAAGGCCCAGGATGGTCGAAATGTCATCAACAGTGGGAGGGTCTTCATGTTTGTTTTTGCAATGCCGTTCCTGCAGCAGATGGACAGCCTTTGTGGCATCAGGTTAGGCATGGCATATGCCATTACCGGCTGAAAAGACCCCCCCAAAGACTTGAAGGCCATGAATTTATGCAAAAATTTGCATTTCATGAACTAACATACTTGTTGTTCATCCTTTTGATTCTTTTTGTGTGCTTTTGTTATCGCACCGTCTTTTTACTGTAAGTGGGGGGTGCCCTGTTAGTCCACAGTCACAGTCTGAAAGGGGTTCTATGCACCCTTGGCAGGTTTTAAAACCAATTCTTTGGGTGACTTGAATCCGGAGGACTCTGAGGGGCGCATCAAGATCTTTGGAGGCCAAGCAGAGGAGGAGGATCTTGAAGGCGATTGCCTGGGTCGAACCCAGAAGCTTTCTCACTTTGAGAAGCCAATTAGACTCTGTGGATTCTTCATATCTCTATTCTCATAGAGAGTGAAGGACTTGAACATTATTTCTCGCTTAGGGCTCAATGTGCAAGCAAACAGTGGGAGGAGTTGTTTTCATGTCATCAATATAGGCAAATGCTGCCACATGCTTCAAGTGTTTTCTAGTTTAATCATGAGCGCTAAATCTTGGCTCAAACTACGCGTCGTGATCATGTCGAGCCTTTCGACCATGTCAGTGTCCTCCACGGAGGCCTAGAAGTTTTCGTGGAGTGTCGTGACATGTTAGTAGCAAGAAGCTAGTAGGTTGGAGGCCATCGCTACTAGGATGGAGGCCATTAGTACTAGTAACAAGGAAGCTACTTTTTTAAATCTTTGGAATTGATTGTATCGCCCTTGCACGAGCAGTGCTGGGTACTGCCCGCAAGGTTCAACGCATGCATGGTGCGAAGGTCTCCAGATTCAGGGAATTGTTGGAGGCCTGGGCCTGGTAAACAATGGGCGGCACACTCCTTGTTTCAGATTAGGAGGGCTGCTGACAGCACCGGCTGATGCTTGAGATCTGGTGACCATCTCATTGTTCTTTGGTCTTTGGATCTGGAGCGTGTCGCCGCAAGGTTTTGCTGACTTTGCAGCTTGTTGCTTTGAGATATGTACATAGCATCGTTCAATAGATCACTTGACTTTGACTACGTGACTGCTTGAGATGAACATACTGCAGGAGCTGAGCGCTCTTCATGAGAATACCCTGGCCGAGATTAACCAGCTACGAGGGCAATGGACCATATCCGTCCAAGCGCAGTTGAGCTTAATTGATCGCTGTTCAGATCTTTCAAGCATTCTGAGGGCTACACGGGCGAAACCTAGGAACCACATGAAATAGAAGCATGAGCTTTCCTTTGCCCTAGCGGGTAGCAGGATACCTAATGCAGTAGTTTGTTTAGCCCTTAATTGAGTAGCCTACTTAATTGAGTCAGGGTGGGGGCAACACGGACGGACAAAACTCCGGAGCCTCCGGAATATCTTTTGGCGCGATTGCTCAGGCCGGGTGACCTCAAGGACTGTCGCTGTGTTTGGCAGACGGCTCCCAAACCTACGAGTAGTTGTCCACCGAACGAATTGTAGCCGAAGCAGCTGTCACATTGGCCTTGCCGAGTCAAGGGGGTCGGATCGGTCGTGACACAAACTTACAGTGACCCGGACAGATTTGCACTTGTTTGCTTCTTTCATGACTTTTGTCATTGTCACCCTCATGATGCCCCCTGTGCCACACCCACAGGAAAGAAACTTGGGGCCTCTTTGGAAGCCCTCGCTGCCTGTAGAGGCGGTGCACGACTCGGTGCCTTGCCAGCGAATGATGACTGGGATGGTCTTGTCCGTGACTGCTCCACTACACGCACTACACTATGCCGAATCCTTTGGGTCAGCAAGGTCAAGGTGCTCTTTGTATAGTGGGGTGCCCCAAATGGAATCCGTGAATCACACATTGGGAAAGACTCTTCACTTGAAGAGAATGGCAGACCTCCTCTGGTTATGAATTCATGTGAGAAACGCAAAAGCCAACGCAGTGATGCAGGCAGACCTTCCCCCTTCACCGCCATCGGCAGCTTCACTGCCTGCGGGAAAACTTCTTGGCCACACGCCGCCTGACGCATATAATGGCTACAGCAAGGCAATTGGCCAGCAACCCTAATAACTTGCCTTTTCATGCAACGTCGTGGTGTGGCATGTGCACATAGTGTACAGGGCACATGTGAGCATTGTAAGGTTTCCAGTCACTTGACAGGGTTTCGCTGCGCATATTGCGTAACAACCAGTCTCAATCTCAAGGTGGGTTGTTAATGGGTCTTGTAAATGAGGGGTTCTCACTTTCTCGAGGTCGTCCAAGACAGCCTCAGAGGAAGAGACTCGGCATCTGACCTGGATGAGGTAGACAGATTGAGATGATTTATATAAGATACTTAAACATCTTTGACATGACTTTAACAAAGCGAGCACAAAAGAAGAGTTCTTCCGTGAGAGTGATCCAACATGATCCAACCTTAGGAAGGGGAGGAGAAGATTGCATTTGAAGAGGAGAAGCCTTCGAGAAACACCAGCAAGTCAGGTTTGAGCCCCTTGGTTTTCTAATCAGATCGGCTAGCAGCTAGACGGTTATAGTCAAAGGTGAGATTTTGCGAGCCCTTAAAATATCAATTTTTTGCTGCTTGATAACCATGCCGAGAGCAATAGGGCTTTTCGCGTAACACCTTATATATCAGGTCTTATCTTCAAAAGACTCAAAAGGGTAGGAGTGTAGGACTAAGGAAGGCCCAAGCAACCCGGAATTCATCGCTATTTAGATTGGAGGCCATTGCTAGAGGGCGTCGCTATTGGGTGGCCTCTACCTATATAATAGCAATGGCCTCCAACCTGCTCGCAATGGCCTCCACCTAATAGCGATG